TTTCTGTCTGGATGATCTATCCACTGAAGTAAGTGTGGTGTTAAGGTCCCCTACAATTATTGTGTTGTTGTTAAAATCTCCTTTTAGATTTGTTAATAATTACTTTATGTACTTTGCTGCTCTTGTGTTTGGTGCATATATATATTTATAAGTGTTATATCTTCTTGGTGGAGTGTCCCTTTTATTATTATATACTGCCCCTCTTTGTCTCTCATTGCCTGTTTTATCTTAAGGTCTACTTTGTCTGATATAAATATGGCAACACCTACTTTCTTTTGTTTGCCATTGGCTTGGAGCATCATCTTCCATCCCTTCACTCTGATCCTGTGTTTGTCTTTAGAGCTGAGATATGTTTCCTGGAGGCAGCGTATTGTTGGGTCTTGTGTTTTAATCCATCCTGCCACTCTGTGTCTTTTGATTGGAGAATTCAATCCATTTACATTTCAAGTGATTATTGATATATGAGGGCTTAATGCTGCCATTTTATAACTCATTTTCTGGTTGTCCTGTTTTTCCCTTGTTTCTCATCCCATGTATTTTGGACTACCAGTTCAGTTTGGTAGTTCTCTTTGAAGATTTTCTCAGTTTTCTCTTTGTTTATCATTTGTATGTCTGTTCTGATTATTTGTTTAGTGGTTACCATGAGGTTTGTATAAAAAACCTCAGAGATGAGATAGTCCATTTTCTGATAGCCTCTTAATCGCTTCATCTAAGCTGATTCCATCCCTTTCCTCTTCCCCTTCTAAGTTATTGTTGTCACAAGTTATTCCATCTTGTCTTGTGAGTTTGTGGTCAAAATGACGAGATTATAGTTATTTTTGATGTTTTCCTTCCCTTTATCTTTAATGTTATAATTACTTGCTAACCTATTCTGATAGAGAGCTGCAATTGCAATGTTCTGATTTTGTCTGCTTATTTATCTCCTTGCTCAAGTGACTCCCCCCCCTTTTTTTTCAGATATGAGGGCCTTCTTGATAATTTCTTGTGTGTGTGTGTGTGTGTGTGTGTAGGGAGGGAGTCTTGTGATGATGAACTCCCTTAGCTTTTCTTTATCTGGAAAAGTTTTTATTTCTCCATCATATCTGAAGGATATTTTCACTGGATAGAGTGTTCTTGCCTGAAAGTTTTTGTCTTTCACAATTTTGAATCATCATTCCATGCTCTTCTAGCCTGTAAGGTTTCTGCTGAGAAATCTGCTGAAAGCCTGATAGGCATTCCTTTGTAAGTTATTTTCTTCTGCCTTGCTGCCTTTAATATTTTTTCTTTGTTATTGAATTTTGCCAGTTTTATCACTATATGCCTTGGAGAAGGTCTTTTTACATTGATATAATTAGGAGTTCTATTAGCTTCTTTTACTTGTATTTCCAGCTCTTTCCCCAGGTTTGGGAAGTTCTCAGCTATTATTTCTTTGAACAAGATTTCTGCTCCATTCTCCCTCACTTCTCCCTCTGGAATATGTATAATCCTTATGTTGCATTTCCCAATTGAGTCAGATATTTCTCAGAGAATTTATCGTTTCTTTTTAGTCTTAGTTCTCTCTCCTCCATCTCAAGCATTTCTACATTTCTGTCCTCCAGATTGCTAATTCTGCCCTTCATAATATCAGCTCTTTTTATCCAGGGTGTCTAGATTTTTCTTTATCTCATCCATTGTGTTTTTCATCTCCAACATTTCTTATTGGTTTTTCTCTATAGTTTCAATCTCTTTTGTGAAGAATTCCTCTGTTAATTAATTTTGTTTCTGATTTCATTGAACTGTCTGTCTGAATATTCTTGTAACTTGTTAAGTTTTTTAATGATAGGTATTTTGAATTCTCTGTCATTTAGATTACAAATTTCTGTGCCTTCAGAATTGATTTCTGGGTGCTTGTAATTTTCCTTCTGGTCTGGAGTATTAATATATTTCTTCATGTTGTTTGATGGCATGGATTTGTGTGTTTGCATAGTGATAGTATCTAGCCAAAGTGGTGGCAGGTGGAATACTGAGCCCACCACCATCCCTGGCGTCTGAGCCTGTCCTCCTGTGGAATCTATGCTGACAGAGCCTGACTGTGATTGTCAACTCTGTTGCTTGCAGCTGCTGCTTTTCTAATATATGTGCAGGTGCTCTGGCCAACCAGCTGGGCTAGTGAGCTGGGCTGGGGGAGGGGCACTTTCTTTCGCATGCATGAACTCTGTCCTTGCTGTCTACTCTCCTGAGGTGCTGGCTTCATGAAGACACCCACACAATAGCTTAGCCTCCTCTGTGTAGAGGTTTCCCACAAGCTGTGAGGGAACTTGGAGAGTAAAGGCATTCCTACAGAGAGCCACCCCTCCCCAGTCTTTTCTCAGAGCCACACGTGGTCCTGTGCCCCGGGTTGCTGCTGGGGAGGGAGAGGAGATCCCCTTACCTCCTTCCACTTCCTCCTGGGGAGTGTAGCACCTCCACCTTCAGATGTATTGCTGTGTGGGCCTCTCAGAAATCTTTGTGTTGTGTGGATGTCCTCTGTTAGTTTATGAATGTTCTTTTCATTGTATCTTAGCAGGGAGAGTCTAAGAGAAGCACTCACTCCACCATGATGCTGACCTAGAGCTTGTATTTTTTAAAAGGGGTGTTTAACAGTATGGCATGGCATGATGTTCCCCAAACTTACCTGTTGATTAAAATGGGGGGGGGGGTGAGAACATTATGAAAACAAATTCCTAGACCCTCCTTTGGAAATTCTGACACAGTGGATGGGGCTTGAAAAAAAATTTAAAAAACACCCCAGGTGATTCTTATCTTGAAGGAAACTTGGGAAAAGCTTTAGTGGTAGACTAAGAGAGATGGCTCTAGGGACAATCCTAGCTCTGCCACTTACCATCTGTGTAATCCTGAGCAAATCACTTAACCTCCTTGCACTGTTTCGTTAACAATAGATACAACAATGCCTGCTACTCAGAGATGTTGAGAGAGGATTAAATGTGAGCAGGTATGTGAAACACCAACCCTCTGACTCCTCTGGGGCCTCTCAGCCTCCTTCATACAGAGAGGACTGAGCTCCCACTCCAGCCCTCACCAGACCTGGATCCCTCACCAATTCTGACCTTCCTGGGTCTGCTCCAGACCCAGCTTCTACAGGAACTCACCTAGTTGAGGATTTAGGGGATGCTTACATATATATCCTCTCGTTGTTATCTTATCATTTTGGTCTTTCTCAGCTCTGCGTTGGATCTTGTAGTGAAGTGACCCAGGGGCTGCCAGTTACATTTCTTTCCCTGTGAAGATGGGATGGACTATTGCAATCTTCAGTGTTGGGCCTACATCATTTTGTTTTCTCACCTCCATGGAGGTGATAGGATAAGCCTTTCGGGCAGGACTGCCTGGGTTTTAATCCTAGTTCTGCCCCCTTAAAGCTGTGTGATCTTTAGCAAATTGCTTAACTTCTGTTCCTCAGTTTCTTCATCTGTGAAATGGGCATATTAATAGATGCTACCTCCTATAGTTGTTATAAGGATTAAGTGAGATAATACACATTAGGTGCTGAGAACAGTGCCTGCCACAGAGTAAATACTGAGGAAATGTTCATCATGACTGTTATCTCAAGGATAACCACGGAATGAAATACAACAAAAACCAAAGGAGACACAGTTCATCTAAACTGCAGTCATAAGCAATAGTTCTGACACTAGTCATCTGAGTGTCATTTCCAGTAGTTTTCTCCTTGAGAGGGTGGGCCCTGCTCAGCCTTCACATTTAGAGCAAAACTTTGCTCTTTGCTATAAGTCTGAGAAGATTGTTCTCTCTCCAGCTGCCCTCCCACCCCTATTCTAGAACAGGGGCGTATACATCATGTTGTGTAGAATGGTCTACAGAGGTGCTTCAGGCTTTCTGCAAAGTTCAATTTGAATGCCATTTAAATATACTTTTAATTATTTAAAAAAGTCTATAAAGCGATATCTGGTCTAAAGTATTCTACACCAAATTCTAACATGCCAGAGACCACTTCATCATTTAGGGCTAATAGGTTAACTAGTTTTGTACAGACCATGGAATAAAATGTCTCCTGCCATCTCTGTGTATATATTTGAAATTCTTATAAATTTGTCTTTGATTAAGAAGTTGGTACTTCTAAGGTGCTCTTTTATTTATGTGTATGAATTATTTATTTTCTGGTTTAAATCTAGACCACTGATGTCAAAATTTAGGCTTGACAGTGTTGTCGTGGTGAGTTCCCATCACAGCCCATGAGCATGGCCCACGTGTGTCCAGAAGGCTGGGTGCTCTTGTTGGAGTGCACTCTCCTTGGGTGGCACAGTCAGCCATGCAGTAACAAGTGCCTGTCATACAATGCGGCTGTCATACCATATTTTAGATAGTTTTTGAAATTCTTTTAAATTGTGAGAACTTCTTTGATTCTTAAATGTAAAATAGGAATGCAAGCAATTCTTAGAAATTGTTACTGATTCAGCTTTGAAACAAAAATTTTCTAATTCTCCTCTTTTAAATTTCTGGTTTGGTTTCATTGTAGAGTATTCTGAGATTAAATGATTAACTTTTTTTAAACTCTGCTCCCATTGCCACCCCTATAGGTCAATGAGGGTGTTCTGTGTACTGTGCACCAAAACAAACTACAGAAAGAAATTGGATCCTGAGTCTGACTAACCAGGCATCCTGGCATCCTTAATCTGTGAATTCTAATTTTTACTGTTTTAATTGGCTCTATAATAATTAAGTACTATGTATTTGAACTTAAAAAATTTTTTAATAATAAAATGTCACTTTTATCTTTTTGATGATATAGCATTCTATTTTAAAACAGGGTATACTTAATTAAAAAAAATTTTAAATCTACACTCTAAAAACATTGTAGTGGAAGGTCCCATCCCTCCCCCAGTGAAGCTGGAACACCCTGGCCTGGTGGAGAAAAGGTGATAGGAGTTGCCATCACATAAATTATGTAAAGTGGTCAACAGGCTTTGGGGGCAGACGCTGCTTTTCTATCAGATGCAAACATTGCTAGCATTTGTCCTTGTGAGTACCTGTTTTGTCCATTTCTCTAATACGGACTTCTGGATCCCAGCAGTTCTCTTGGACCACTCTGAAGACCTGCCCATCTTTCACCATCTTTGCTTCTCCCTAGGGCAGAAATCCCACATCAGCAAAAGGCAACCTAAGCCTACTTAGATTAGACCTTCTTTGTATGCTTTGGAACATGCTTCTCCCCTAACATTTTTAGTGGTTTTTACTTAATCCTCCCAGAAGTAGAAATCGGTTCATTTAATGGAACTGAACTTTTCATCGTCATGCCTTAATATTGGCTGAATTTGAAGAGATGTGCTCTGTGTGTGTCAGTGACTGGACACAGAGAGAAGAAGGTCATGGTCATGGCCTTTTGGGGCTGCATGACTGAGGATAACTGGTCACCTTACCGACCTGAACCCACGGGCTACAAGACCTGAGAGGATCGCCCAGTGCCTGGAAAACTCTAGATTCATAACATTTTAGGATTGGAAAGGCTCTCTGAGACAGATCATCCAGTCCTAGCATCCAGTTGCTTCTAGAGAAGCAACAGATGGATAGTGAGAGTAAATAATTTGTCTAACAGAGCATGGCCTACTGATGTCAACACCTGCAGGAGAAGGCGGACAATGAAGTGAATCAGCCTAGCAGCACATATGAATTTGGTGCTGAGCTGCTAGCTTCCACTGGGCTCATGCTTGCCTGTGTACAATACCTTTTAATATGCGGTGCAGGGGGGCCAGACTAAATGGCTGTACAAAACATGGCAGTGGTCTCTAAATTGAGCCTCCAGTTTGTGATCCCTAAAGAAAAGGGAAATGTTCTGATCTAGGTCCCTGAAATCAGACTGCAAGGGTTCAAATCCCCATTCTACCACTGACTGTGTGGACTTAGGCAAGTTAAACAACATCTCTGAGCCTCAGTTTGCTCATCTTTATAATTATTTTTTTAACTTACCAACCAAATATTTATTTAGCCCTTAAGGTGGGCAAGATGATTTCTCTGAATGATGTAAGACTTCAATGATACATAGTTGAGGAAAAAAGACAAGTTCATAAACTACCACTGAAAAATTAGATCATAAGCATGGAGATTGGAAAGCCTGAGAGAAAAGGAAGAAATTCAGGCACAGATCCCTGTCCATGGAGACAAAGAATAGTGTACTTGAGTTGGCTGAGCAGAGGTTCAATAAGCCAGAGATGGTATTATGCTCGGCAGTGATGTTCAATTTGGAACATCTGAATATCTCCCTCTCTTTGTCACTTAAATTGAAAGTGTCTTTGCACTTCTCCTGGATGATTGGGCATAACCAGGGCAAAGCCTTCTTCTCCTGACCAGGCCCAGTTGGAATGACAGGTCAATTGTTGCTTTAGAGAGGAAAGAAGATTCTTGGTTCTTCAGTAACCCTGTCTTCATTGCAACTCCTTCAGTTCCGTAAGGAGGTATCACTTCCAGCATATCACCCAGCATACAGGACACTCGTAAGTAAGGCTTGGACTTCTTTTGGCTCAGAGAACAATACAGGTAGGACAGAAGTCATGGTCACATTCGGTGGTGACTACTTCCTTTAGATCATTCTGGCAGATAGCACAGATTAGTTCATACTCATCCCATTCAGCCATGGCTCTATGGTTTCTTCTGCTTTGCGACATCAAATATCTGTGAGTCTCAGCCTCTGTCCTACTTGCTGTTCTGTCTAGAAGTTTCTGAGGTTTTGTTCATCTTTAAAATAATAATATGACTTACCTTAAAAAAATAATATGACTTACCTTAAAGGAATCTTGTGGGCATGAAATGGGATAATCTATACAAAGCACATAGTAGAGTATCTGACACATGTTGAGAGGAAAGAAGTGTGTTATTCTTAGTATTAGTTATTAATGATGTATGGTTAATTAGAGACTAGGCTGTCTCCTGATGTTCCCCTGCTTTGAGGGCACCCCTCCTCTGGTGATGCTTCAGGGCCTCAAGATGCCCTTGGGCTCTATGTGTTGGTCAGGTGGGCAAGTGGTGATCAAAGGCCTTGAGCTCTGCTTGGTGGAGTCCTCTGCCCTCCTCCTCTTCCTCTTGGCTTGATCATGACTTGCACTCAGGCCTTGCCATAGCTTCCTTCTATTCCGTGGACAACACCTTCTCCATCTCCTGCGTAGAGAAGGTCTTTTCATCTTCAAGTGTGGTGGTCCACATCTGCATACATAGGAAGACCTCAGATCCATGTTTTCGTTTCTCATGGACTGGGGAACAAGTCAATGGGCAAATGACTTGGGTAACTGTTACAGGTGTCTATATCCAGGCAGAGTGGAGTTTCTGACACCAGGACATCAGGGTTGATTTGCCTCAGTTCTCATAGTTGGCTGATCATTCCAGTATCTGAACCACCTTCCTGAGTCAGGGAACCTCCTGTGAGAGCCTTGGTGGCGGCAGAGCTCAGCCTCCCTCTACTAAAACCCAAAAGCCCAATACTTGCTCCAAACTTGGCCAATCAATGCTTGGATTTGAATCAAGTACAAGAGATGCAAAAAGACAGGAACAGTTGAATTTATTATGCCAGTGATTCCAGCAGTGACCACGTGCTATGTCCATTGGCAGTGGTACTGGTGGGAGTGTCCAGTGTCCAGCTGGGAGGTAGCAGCTCCCTAGCCAGGCTGTTCCTGTGGCGTTGCCTTGGCTATGGCTTCAATCACCTGGTTTCCCTTGGTTCCTGCACATTTATGAATGTGGTTCCCTGGGCATTTTGTAATTCTTGAGGGGCTTGACCACCGTGCCACCATGCCGGCTCCTAAACCTCGCTTTTTCTATCTGTAAAATGTGGATCATTTTATTTGTCATGCTCGTGACCACTCACCATCTTTGGAACACTTCCTATGTGTGAAGACATTTTCACATTTAGATCCCCCTTTCCTGAGGGAGAATCCAGAATTCACTTTCTTAGTCTCCCTTGTAGCAAGGACGCTGGCATATGCTCTAGGCTCTGCCAATCAGAGGCCCCATTTGTGGCTTTGATTTGGAAGAGAGCACGGTGAGAAGGCAGGGACCGTGCAGAATCCACGTTTTGGCAAGGGTGTTTTCTCAAGTGTCAGACCTTGCTGGAGGAGAAACTGCAACACTAGTCTCCAATCTCAGCAGCATCACCATGAGCTTCCTGTCTGTGACCAGGAGTAGCAGCATTTGCGTCTTTGCTGGAGCAGCTCCCCAGATATGATTGTACATTGTGCATACTAGCACAGCCTCAGAGCTTGATCTCCAGCTCTCCCAGGAAGTCTGTGAGCTGTTTTTCTAATTAAACTAGATAGAGTGGATTCTGTTGTCTGCAACTAAGAATGTTGAGTGATACAGAAGATTCAATAATAGAATGTTTGTAAAGAACTTAGCACCAGGCCAGAGAACATGCACAATCAGTGATGGCTAGATTTTACCATGTTATCAATAACATGGCAAAGGAGGAAATTGGGTTTCTCTGGGAGGTGCATTACTAAGTTTTGGTTTCAGACAAAGCAGAAGATGTTAAAGTAGAAATAGGTCATTCAGTTCAACTCTTGCATTTACCAATGAGTCCATGTGGTGCAGTGGTATAGAGCTTAGTTGGTATGGAGTTGGGAGAAGAACCCAGGTTTATGAAGTCATTTTCCATCCCACCAGGCTGATATTTGGTAATTGGTCTCTGCTTAGTAGGCAGAGGTTAATTACTATAATTTCCTAAAGAGTCTGATCTTTTGGGGAGGATTGCTCTCATTACATTGCAGGAAAATCAGATTTACTAAACTTCTTTTTCCATATCCTTCATGCTGGATCCATGATAATGCAAATGGATGACAGCAACCATCAGTGGAACTCTTTGTGAGTGAAAATTGCCACATAGCAGCTGTGCCCCTATAATAGGCTCCCAATTCTCATTGTTTTTTCAGCCAGAATTTTGGGACCTGAGAGCCATGGTAGAGAATCAGCTCCTGATCCCTCTCACTTTACATTTGGGAACCCAGGATCACTGCAGGGCTATAAATGTGCCTCAGAGGTCAACATTTGCTGCTGGGGAGTCACTGGTGGTGGGGGGGTGTCTCTTAGTTTCTGTTTTTAACATTGACCTCAATACCAACCAAGATCTTAAACTAAACTAATAGCCAAGTAATTGGAGCAAGTTGCTCTAATTTATTCAACCAAGAAACAAATTCTGATTTTTTTCTAAACTCTCAAAATAAAACCAAGTTTTTTTAAAAATAAAGAATTCTCCAACCAACCATCGCTACCCAGATAACTCATTTCAAATACACCTCAAATATCTTTTAAGCCAGAACAGCACGGTATAGTGGAAATCATGATACTGGAGGGGTCGGGAGACCTGGATCCTACATGTAAACCACTTACCCTCCCAGGACCTCAGAATCTAACTATAAAATAAGGGCTTAGTGAAAATGAGGTCTAAGGTCTTTCCCAGGATGATGTGATGTACCACCAAGACCCCCCTTCAAGAATAAAGGACTTATTCTCCCAGCTTCTGGGAGCATTGCCCGCAGACAGCCTTCAGCTGTCAGCCCCTATGGGGAGATGGGAAGACTGCCTTGGCTGAAGAGAGCCAGCCCCCTCAAGGTCCTGCTTCATTTCCAGGGCAGCCCACTTCCAGTGACTGATTGACATGGAGATGTAAAGACCCCAGGACTCCCCACCTTGGAACAACTCTGAAGGTCAGCTTTAGAGCTCCTTCTGGGTCAGCTGAGGCCTCCGTTGAGACTACATCACGGCTCAACATTGCCCTCTGTTCTATCCTGCTTCCTTCTCCTCCCTTCCACTGTGCTCTAAGGGCACTTCCTGATAAACCTCCTGCATGTTGATCTCCATCTCAGAGTCTGATTCCCAGGGAACCTAACCTGTGACACTTCTGATTCCTAAGTTCTAGTTCTAACACTATTTGCAAGTAAGTTCGAATATGGCTGGTATTTCAAATGTCTGGTACTGCCTGTATCATTAAAAATGTATTTTCAAGCCATCAGATTTCCATTCTCCTCCGCCTTCCCGCAGTGCCCACTCAGGCTATCCCTCTAGACCGCGCAAGGTGCCATGCTGGTTGAACTTGAGGTGCAGAGTTGGCAGAAATGGACGAGACACTGTCACTAGGAAGCAACCTCTGTAATCACTCTAAGTCTCACATTGCAAGGTTCTGAAGGACAGCTCCATGTAGGCTCTACTACAACTGCTTCAAACTCCACTCACCCAACCTGTTTGTCTGTCTCAGACCTCGTTGTCCTCCTGGCTCGGCGGCTTCTGTTTCTGATGCCTGCATTATCTTTCTCATCCCTCTGAGACCACATCATTTTTTCCACTCCCTCAGTCTAACATGTCACCATCCTATCTGTTTCCCAATACCACTGGTTCTAGCTCCAAAATAGATCCTGCAGTAGTCCACTTCTCTCCATCTCCACTGCTCCGGCCTTGGTCCAAGCCCCGTCCCCCCTCACCTGAACAACTGCTCCAGCCTCCATCCTGATCTCTTTCTGCTTTCCCTCTCGCTCCCCTCCAACCCAGTATCCACCAAGCAACCAGAGTAAACTTTTAAAACCCTAAATCATCTCTTGCCAGCTCTTCACTTATAACTCCCTAATGGATTCCCATTGCCCTGAAGGTAAAATCCAAACTCCTTAACATGGCTGGTAAGACCCTGCATGATGTAATCCCTGCCACCACCATACCTTCATCACGCACCTACACCTTTATAAACAGGCTCTTTATTAACTCTTTCCAAAGTGTTCTAATTTAAGTGCGCCATTTATTTTCTGTTTGGAACCTAATTGACTTAGCTAAAAAATAGGTACATAAACATATTAATTAATATATATCCTTTCTATAGCTGCTTGTATATATAAGTAAAATAATAGGAAAAGGTCTGGGAAGATACTCACCAAACTGTTAATAGGAATTACTTTTGAGGATGGGGAGTGCTGATCCAAGGGAACTGTGGCCTTATCTCCAATAGCTTAAATTTAAAAAGGAGAATTTATTCAAATATTACTTATGTAATGAGAAATTAACCTTAATAAAACATGAAATGGGGGCACTGGGCTAGATTAATGGCTTTTAATCAATTTTGGCTATGACCCCACTTTAGGAAGTATATTTTCCGTTGTGACCCAGTACACCCATATATATATCTATTTAAACAGCTAAAGACTAAGACAAAAGTTTCATGAAACAGTATCTTCTCTTACCATACACAGTACATTCTGCTAGTTTCTTTTGTAATCTATTTTATTTTCAAGGCTGTCCTAACCCACTGAATTGGTATTGGGTTGCAAACCATATTTTCAAATACTTGGCTAGATGATCATTAGCCCTACAGTTCTATGATTTTTTATTTATCTATTGCCTCCTGCCTTGGGCTCCCCACCTTCCCTGAACACCCTTACTATTTATTGTCTGTCTTGCTCAGTTGGCATAAAATTATCACTACCCATATGTTCTTTATCCATTTGAGTGTCTTCCTGGCTCCCCAGTGAGGGGGAAATCATTTTGAAAGCAGGGACCCGATGATCAGAGATAACACAGAATAGTATGTGTGAAAATGCTAAGTGTGATGGAAATGGTGTGTGTATGTGTGTGTATTTATATTCCCAAGGGTCTAAAAACACTCAGTGGATGTTTCTAGATGCTGCTGACCCACGAATTTGAAATAGGCCCTGTGTCTACCCTCCTTTGAAATGCTCCCAGGTGTTCCTGCCATCAGAAGTCAATTCTACCCCCACCCCAAGCAGCTCCTGAGAGGGGGCCATACAAACTGGCTTGCTAACTAAACTTTTATAAATATTCAGCCAAAGGACAGATGATGTTTTTCATTTCTGAGCAGGGTTATACTGTGGCAAACAAATACCCCTCCATTCATTCCAAAAGCATTGAAAAACCAAAGGTTCAGAAGAGAAACAAATAGGGCAAACCAGAGAAATGTTTTGGAAAGGCTTTCAGAGAACAGGAATTTCCAGGGTAAATCAGTTATGGGGGACAGAAAATATTTGTTCACTGAAGGAATGCAGGAGAATAAAAAGAAATTTCAACCCCAAAATACTGGATTTTTCTCATTGCCCTTAGCCTAATTTGCATATTTGTATATCTTTGCACATTGTTTTCCAGTGACTGTAATCCCTGACCACTGTATTTATGAAATACAGATTTGGTTCTGGTCTGTTTTGCTTCGTTTTGTTTTTGAGAGAGAGGGAGGGAGGTTGTCATTGTTTTGTTCCATTAGACTACCATTGTATCCAGTTTTGCTGGAAATATGTAGGTAGTAGATATGACTGGAAATATTTTCCTTCTTGTTTCTTTTGGTGATTTGCTGTTAAATTATGCAAGTCCGTTTAAATACAGTATCACGGTTGCCAGCTGTAGCTTGGGACGCGGAGTAAAAAGAAAAAAAATCACAGGCTTCCCATCCCTACACCTGGGGCTTCTTCCTAGTAGCCTTGTAATCCTCTCCACTCACATTTTTCTCGCCCTTAGGGAGACTTGAGGCCAGCTTAGATCCCCAGCTCCCAGGCTGGGAACTAGCACTTTTCCCAGGAGAAGTGTAGCCCAGTGTCTAGACTGGCACTAGTGGGCACTCTTTGATGAAGGTGAGAATGAGCTGCCGCAGAGATTCTGATGTTTAAAACTCTTAATGATTCCCCACTGCCTTCAGGATCGAGTACAAAGGCCTAAACCCTTCCTCCAAAGCCCCATCTGATGAGGCTTCTGCCCAGCTGTTCAGCTTCTTCCCACCACTTTGCTCCCCAAACTCTTGCCTGCCTCTGTCCATTCTCCACAGAGCAGCCAAAGTGGTCTTTGTAAGCCATTAAGACCCTCCAAAGAATATGCATTTCGTTGAGAATAAAATCCAGACTCCTTTGCATGTACAAAGGTCCCTCCATGCTCTGGCCCCTGCTTACCTCATTAGCCTCGTTTCCACCATCTCCCTCTTTTACTACATCTCAGCCACATTGCCCTCCTTTCTGTTCCTTGAACACAGCTCTTCCTCATATGGTGGCCTTAGCAACTGCAGTTCCCTCAACCAGAGACACTCTTCCATGCTTTTCCTTCGTGTCCTCCAAGTCTTAGCTAGCTTCCTGACTGGCCAGCCCAAATGAATCTTCCCAGTCACTCCCTGTTACAGCACTGTTTTTTATTCCATTCTCTGAAGTGATCGTGTTTGTTTGTCTCCCCCTAGAATCTGAGTACCATGAGGACAGGGAGTATGTCTCTTTTGTTCATTGGCATATTCTCAGTGTCTGGACTGGTGGGCCTGGCACCAAATAGGTGTCAATAAAAATCAGTGAGTGAGTGAATGTATATGAGCCAGTGGTTCTCAAACTTGAGGAGCATCAGCATCACCCGGAGGCTCGTGTCAGATTGCTGGCCTGACTCTCAGAGTTCCTGATTTGGTAGGTCTGGTATGAGGCCAAAGAATTCGTATTTCTCCGAAGTTCCCAGGTGAAGCTGCACTTGCTGGTCCAGGGCCACACTTTGAGAAATGCCATCACTGTGTGCTTGAGTTCTGGGCTTACATATGATTAATATCTCCATGCCTTTGTTCCCTGTCTTCTCTTCTTGGAACCTTGTTTCCTTTATTCCTTGGGCAAGCCTTCATCCCTGCTTCAAGACTTAGGATGAGCACCACTTCCTCCAGGAGGCCTTCTCCAATCCTTGGTGCTCAGTACCTGGTGCGAAAGAAGTCTTAACCTTATCACACTGCATTGCCTTACCCCTGTGCGTGGTAACTGTGCTTCCCAGACTGCGAGTCCTCCAGGGCCTGGCTTAGTCATGTCTGTGTTCCAGCTGGAAGCTCAGGAATGTTCCCTCCATGAAGGCATATGATGCCTCTGAAATTGAAGTCAGACCTGACCTCTGTGCAGCCCTAGACTTCTGGCCCACTCTCAGGCCTCATTATTTGCAGAAAGCTTTGCCCCAAGCCCTCCTCCTCTTGCCTTTTCCTCTTACCAAACTCAACCCTTAATAACAGTGGCTTCTTCTCCTCTTTGTCTCAAATGTTTAATTTCTCCAGCTTGTGCTCAAACCTAAATTGTTCCATTTGTTTGGTTGGCTTTAGTGTTCTGTAATAACCTGTGGAGAGGGCCAGGTCACTTCCTTAAGACAGAGTGATAAATGCTAAAATTGGTTCTAGGGCAGGAAAAAAAAGAGAGAGACAGAGAGAGAGAGAGATTTCTTAATGGATTCTCAAATTCCAATTTTATCTTCCTAAATGCTGCTCTTTGAAGTTACCCCCATTTTTCCTAATGATTTTGAGAAACCTCAGTACTGCTCCCTTGCCTACTGCAAAGCCAATGGGAGGACAGAAGCTTGAACTCCCTGGAGGTCCACCTGCAGGCAGATCCCAGGCTCAGGATGTCCCTGGGTCTGCGGCATGCTCACACTTTGGGAAAAACTCACCTTGCTATGGTGTTGGAGCTGCACCCAGCCTCCATAGCCAAATTTCTGCAAGAGAGAAGCACAGTTATACTGGAGGACCAAAGCAGAGAGGACTCCAATAAAGGGGCATCCTTGCGGCAAAGGATCCCAAGCTGCATCCTTTCAAGTGTCACCTTCCCATTTTTTACCCATACCCATGTATCACTTATTCAATATTTATATTTAAATCAATTTACTTTTTTCCTTAAATATATTTATTTAGGAAGAAAATTCTGCATCATAGAAATCCTAATTTTACCTTTTCTCCTAATGCAGGTCACAATTTTTAAATGAAGCTTAACATTAAAAAATATTTATTCACCACCTAAAATCATTTCAGGACCACCAGGAGTACACAGACTATAAGGACCACTCTTCGGGGGATATCATCTTAGAACATTAACACTGCTCTTCAAACTGGGTTGCAATCCATGAGTAGATCATGAAATCAATATAGTGGATAGTGACCTATATGTTCTAAAAACACAAAATAGTATGTGTAGCAGATGCTGCTGGTGTCCCACCCATATTCTCTCCCCTTAACATTTCTGTGCGCACCAGCTCTCCTTCAACTGACAGTACCAGCGTTTCTTTGACAGGGGCTTCTCTCTCTCTCTCTGTTTTTTGTGGGGGTTTTTTGGTGAGGAAGATTGTCACTGAGCTAACATCTGAGCCAATATTCCTCTGTTTTGTATGTGGGATGCCACCACAGCATGGCTTGATGAGTAGTGTGTAGGTCTGCATCCAGGATCCAAACCTGTGAACCCTGGGCAATTGAAGTGGAGTGAATGAACTTAACCACTATGCTACCGGGCCAGCCCCAACAAGGGCTTCTCTTTTGCCACTGGAACCAGCTTTGATCAGGCCCTTTGGGCGAGATGACTCTGAGGTGAAGCACACATTCTATACTTTCATTGGCTGCTTTGCTTTCCCTGTCTTACTTCCCCACTCTACTGGTGTTTTCTGGGATCACCTCCAAAGTAAACTACTTGCGTTTGAATTCTTGTCTCAGGGTCTGCTTCTTGGAAAACCCAAGCCAAGATAGTAGAGCAATAGAATGGAATGGGATGGGATCGGATGAGATTAGATGGGATAGAATAGAATGAAATAGACACAGCAAAGGAAACCATCAACAAAACAAAAAGGCAACCTAACAATTGGGAGAAGATATTCTCAAATCATGTATCTGATAAGGAGTTAATATCCAAAATATATAAAGATCTCATACATCTCAACAGCAAAAAAACCCAAACAACCCAATTAAAAAATGGGCAAAAGATCAAAAAGACATTTTTCCAAGGAAGACCTACAGATGGCCAACAGGCACTTGAAAAGATGTTCAACAGCACTAATTATTAGGGAAATGCAAATCAAAACTACAATGAGATATCACCACACACATGTCAGAATGGTTATAATGAATGAGACAAGACATAACACGTATTGGAGAGGATGGGAAAAGAAGGAAACTCTCGTACACTGCTGGTGGGAATGTAAACTGGTGCAGCCACTATGGAAAACAGTATGAAGATTCCTCAAAAAATTAAGAATAGAACCACCGTATGATCCAGCTATTCCACTGCTGGGTATTTATCCAAAGAATATGAAAACACGAATGCATAAAGATATATGCACCCCTATGTTCATTGCTGCATTATTTCACAATAGCCAAGACTTGGAAACAACGTAAGTGCCCATGAAGGGATGAATGGATAAAGAAGATATGGTATATATACACAGTGGAATACTACTCAGCTATCAAAAAAGATGAAATTTTGCCATTTGCGACAACATGGATGGACCTTGGGGGTATCTGGTAAGTGAAATAAGTCAGAGGGAGAAAGTCAAATACTGTATGATCTGCCTCATAAATAGAAGATAAAAACAGCAATACACAAACACATAGATACAGAGATGAGACTGGTGGTTACCAGAAGGGAAGGGGGAAGGGAGGAGGGTGAAAGGGGTGACTGGGCACATGTGTATCGTGATGGATAGTAATTAGTCTTTGGATGGTGAACATGATGTAGTCTACACAGAAATCAAAACATAATGATATACACTAGAATGCCTCCATGTAAGTAATTATTAGTTTCATGAAACTCTTGTTTCTGTTGTATATAAGGATATTTGTACTGAATCACAATATAAAATATATTTCTTCTTGGGGGTCATGAATAAAATATTTTGAAGGCCTCTGCCTAAGAACACAGGTATATATGACTCGTCTAACTACAGGTTTTTAAAGTCTCATTTCATTCATTCATTCATTCTTCAAACCCTCATGGAGTCCCACCCATGACCAGCCTTGCTAAGGCAGAGAAAACAAAAGTGAAGGACAGTTCCAATCTGCGTCGGACACAGTCTTGAGAGAGTGGGACTAGGATGGGCAAGTAATTGAAGACTGGCAATTGTGTGTGAGACGTGCTGTGACAGAGTGACGCACAAGTTCTCTGGAAGCCTGCAGGAGGTTACTGATGTACAACTTGGGTCACGTGGTATCACGGGAGGGAGATTGAAAAGGTAGTCTGGAGTCAGTCGTTTGTCGTCATTAGTTAATCATCAACCCATTCATGTTGTTTCTGCTTTTCTCTTTCTTCATTGCATAAGGAGGTCAAGGTTATTGAGGTGTGTCTATTAATATTTAATAAGGAAAGGCAGCTTTGAAAAGAGACATTAGTGCTTCCAAAGGGGCTTCCTCTTCTAAAATGAAACTAGTACTGGCTTATTCTTTTCATTTTTTAATTGGAAAGTTTGAAAAAATAGTGAGAAAAGATCAGAGACTGATGTTTTGAAATAATATTTTACCCACTAAGAAATGATTTGAAGAGAAGGAAAATCCGTTGTAGCTATTGAACTATATGAAGACAAAGGAAACTCTGCTATAAACTAAAGTCACTTTAATACTCACTTTACTCTGACTATATAGACGGGAAATGGGGAGAGAAAGAGAAAATGGTTCCAGTAACATTTAGATGTATTTTTATTTATCTCACTTCTCCCAGTTTGAAAACACACAACTGTTTCCTCTAGCTGTTTCGTCACTGGCTTGCCTGCACTCAAAGGGACACTTCTACCACGTAACAGACCTGATTGCTTGACCTGCAGGTTGGGAGGCAGGTTCCAATGACCCCATGCCCTCAGTGGGTTTATGTGAGTGCGAAGAGTTGGGGAGCAGCAGGTGTGGAGGGAGGCACTGGAGGCCAGGGTGAAGCGAGGACGTCCTTCAGAGCTGTGATACTCTCCTGGGCCAGCTCTCCGAACTTGCGAAAACAGAGTAGGAGGAGGGGGGTTACCAGGCCTGGGGCGGTGGGGGAATCAGGGAGATATTGTTTAAGGGTACAAACTGGCAACTAGTAGAAAAATAAGTTCTGGAGATCTAATGCACAGCTTAGTGATCATAGTCAACTAGATCTTCATTGTTCTCAACACAAAAAAGAAATGACAATTATGTGATGTGGTGAAGGTATTAGCTAATGCTACTGTAGTAATTACATGGAAATATATAAATGTGGCAAACCAACATGCTGTACACCTCAAACTTACACAATGCTATGTGTCAATTACAAAAATATATGTAAAAACACAATATTCTGTTTTAAAAAAAGGTGGATGTGGTGGTGGTGCTGTGCTGAGGCCCACAGTACCATGTAGCTCTGCAATTCTAGGTTCATTTCTGAGTCTCAAGTACCTCATCTGTCAAGCTGAGTTAATAATATAAGTCCTATTTGGGTTTTTTTCCCTAATTTTTAAAAATTATTTTTATTGAGGGGCTGGCCCCGTGGCCGAGTGGTTAAGTTCGTGCGCTCCGCTGCAGGCGGCCCAGTGTTTCGTTGGTTCGAGTCCTGGGCGCGGACATGGCACTGCTCATCAAGCCACGCTGAGGCAGTGTCCCATATGCCACAACTAGAAGGACCCACAACGAAGAATATACAACTATGTACTGGGGGGCTTTGGGGAGATAAAGGAAAAAAATAAAATCTTTAAAAAAAAATTATTTTATTGAGGCCATATTGGCTTATAATATTGTGTAAATTTCAGGTGTACCTTATCCATGTACACTGTATCTGTACATGTTTCCGTGTAGACTGTATCGTATTCACCACTGATAGTCTAGTTTTTGTCCGTCACCATACGTATGTGCCCCTTTATCCCGTTCTCCTTCCTCCAACCCCCTTACCCTCTGGTAACCGCAAATCTGTTCTCCTATAAGTTCTATTCACATTTCACAAGATTTTATGTTAATGAAATCACACACACACACACACACACACACACTGCTCCCTGGAAGTATGAGACCATTATGGTTATTATTACTACCATCGACATCATTATCATTATCATTATTAAGTGTACCAGCTATCTGCTTGGAGCACGTGAGACTGATAGATAGAGGCCTGGTTTATTGGGACAAAAATGCCCCTGCCCTCTTTTGAGGTGATAGCTAGCAGACAGGGAGGGGAGGTAGTGTAAAGAGCCAGCGGGACATGTGCTTGGGAAGTCCTGCCCATGCTCTGCTCCCCTCAGCTTCCTAAGGAGTTTTAACAATGTCCGTAGGGCCCTGCATTCGGTGGGGCACCTAGAAATTGTCAGCTCTTGATGACCTGTTCTCTGCTCAAACTAGAGGCAGGCTTTGGAGTGGGAGGCAAGTAATGGGAGATGGGGTTGTGGCACAGGATATTAGGTAGAAAGTTTTCTCCCCTCAGCAAAGAGAAGGCACCTTTTTAGGCTGCTATATGTCTTCCAGATGAAGAAGGCTGAGAGCTTATGAAAGAGATCCTTATACTTCGTGGCTTATTTAAGAACAGCTTCCGGTGCCCAGAGGGAATGTCTCATTGGGTCCTAGGTTTAGTGGGAAGATGACCATCTTTCTCAAGGAGTCAGAAGAGTGCGTTCCCCAGAAACAAGATATTTCTCTCGGACATTACGTACATCAGTTTTGGAGCTGCTGAAGCCTGGATTTAAATCTGAATTCCACACTGAGAATCCAACAAGATTGAGTAGAACGGCCAGGCTCTTCTTTGCATAATCAACTTTACATCTGCCAGCAGGAGGAACTGAAAAGCCCTCCCCTACTGGCGAAAGAACATTTTAACTATGATTGGCCTGCTCTCTAAGCACCAAATCCTCATCTGGACAAAGAGGTAGATGCTGTGGAGCTTGGAGGCTCTGCTGCTGTGACATTCTCTTGGAGGGTGGGTCATGCCAGCTCTCTCGGGGGAGAGTACAGGTGGGCAGTGTCCCCCAGACACCACTAAGGTAGTTCCCAAAACATTTCACGCTAGTATTCTTTGAGACTCAAATAAAGAGAAAAGCTGTCATGTTGAATATAATGCTATTTTCTTGGGATAGATCAAGGTCTATTGTAAAATACTAAATCCTTAAATTTCTAAGCCTCTCAGATAAGGGAGTAGAGTCTATTCCTTCCATTTCCTGTATCATAAATTAATTAATTGCTTTAGTCAGTGTATCGTTCATCAGGCAAATAACCATAAACTAGGGGTAGAAAACAGCAACACCATAAAAAGTAAGAAATGCCTGCAGCTTCCAAACAAGCCAAACATACTCCTCTGAAGTAATTTGTGAATTAAAAGACTCTGGTGCATTTCATTAAAAAAATCCCTAACATTGTGAATGGGTGTTTACACTTGAATAAAATATGACAAGGACAACAACATTCAGAACAGCAAGTTCCCACGTAGGCACTTAAACTCCTTTTGGAGTGGTTAGTTTGATAGAGTTAGATTTACTATTAGCTATAATAGGAAAGCCTTTCAAAGATGGTTCAGTGTCATTTGTATTTTTCCATCACCATGTTTATCACCATCTTACCTAAGATAACAATAGACAAAGAAACACTTAAGATTTACATTCATCCAGGAGGCAACTATGAGAAGAAAATAGCTTCATTGACTTCCACAATGAACCACATTTTAATTAGAGTTTGGGTTAATTCATTTTTCCTCACTTGAGATAAAAATAATGAAACATTATCAGTGGGGTGAAAGTGCTATAGAAGGCTGAAGTTTGGGTAAAACCTGATACTCAGCCTAAACAAAAATAAAGTCAATTTTAAATTTCTTTCGTGCCCCCACCTTCTTCTTTTAGTATTAATTCAACAGTTCTTAATGACAAAGGAAATATCCATCTTTAGAGAAACACAGAGAATGCTCCTTAGAGACACTCATTGTGCAGAGGCTTCACGTCATTTCCTCTAGGGCTTTTTGATGTTCCTGCTCCCTAGTTCTTCATAACAAGGATTTACAGCTTAACGTCAAAAAGGTAAGGTTGCAGACAGTATCCTAAAATAGACTAAAAAAAATTTCACCAAGATATATCTTGGTGCTTCTAAAACTTATTTTAAACATTTTGGAAAGAAGATACGTTTTAGAAGTCCTGGAAACCTATCCTATTCCATTTTTAATAGTCTCTTACTTGAAACTGCAACTTGAAATGCTATAGTTGGCATGTATTTTCCAAGCAGCTGAAAATGTGATTTAAATGGAAGTAAAACTGCCTGACTTAAATTGTCCAGAAATTTTAAAGAATGCTTATTTGAGGGGAAAAAGGGATTTTTGAGAAAGCACTTAACTTCTTTGATCCAGTATTCTTCCAAAATAAATATAAAAGCCACGTTTAAAAACTAGAAATCAGAGCTACTAAATAATTTAAAATCACTCCTGCAGAGAAACTTAACATCTGATTCCCAGAAGAAGAGAAAGGTCTGTGATAGAGGCACTGAGAAACCCTGGAGGAGTTCCAGAAATGATTCAGCAAATTAATCCCCATTACCTTTTTTAGATCTGGCCATTCTTTTGGTAGAATATGACTATGGATGTCAATTTTCATCTCCACAGGACCAGAGAAGCGTGTGAGGAAAGAAGCTTTGATATCAAGGGATCTCCAGGATAACCATGGAGTTAATGGATAAACTTAGTCCCTCTATGGCTACCTTCGGGTACCAGTCAGTGGAGACCTGCTCAGCCCAGGCTAAGTGCATTGGGACTGCCTTTTTAAAGCTCAGCTCTCTGTTTATTTGACAGCTTGGCTTTGGGTCAACAGCTCTTTGGTAATCAGGACCCTAGGCACACACACAAAGGACTGTAATAAACCCTATGGCGTCAAATGTCCTGCAGGTATCATAAACCACAGCAGGTCCAAAATGGACTAATTGTTTTTTAAAGTAGTTCAATTTTTATCAAGATATACATAGTTAAAACTCAAATATATTTGATTAAAAATCAAACAGGACAGAGGGCTTTTAAAGAAAATAATAGATCTCTGACTCACCCCTTCTTACTCTTGGTTTCGTTTCCCAGAAGCAACCAATTTTAATGCTTTTGCTTTTTGTTCAGTTGGTTATCTCTAGGCCTTTAAACAGTATTTAGAAATTAGCTTGTTCATCAAAATTTAGCATGTTGAAAAGTTGTGGAGGAAGTTATATCTTTACTTTTAAATCGTAGAAAGATCCCATTCTTCATATATGTTGTTTCATCCATTGCCTTTTTGTTCATTTGTTCATTCATGCATTCAACAGATATTTATTGAGAATTACTATGTGCCAAGGACATAAGGTTGAATGAGAGATAAAATGATACATATATTGTAATAGATAGTTGTACTAAGCCTAAGTGTAGGGAAAAGAAGAGAGTAGCAATTTACATTGAGGGTTGTCAGAGTAGTTTGTGGAGGGCTTCCACTGGAGCATAAAGTGGGGCTCACGGTCATGCCTCTAAAGAAGCCCTTTATTGTTCTATGTTTAACCTTTCTTATTCCCGGAAAGCATAAAATGTTCAAGGGACCTGAGGCCCCTGGCAAAGCCTTAAACCTGTTTTGGGATGCTCCCTTCAGCTCAGTCTACACATCACAGGGACTAAATAGTTACAAAAGCCTTCCTACTAGGCTATTCAACTAGATTCTGGAAATTATAACAAGTATTCTTTTCAACTAGATTCTGGATAAATTATAACCAGTTCAACTAAATCCTGGATAAATTATAACAAACATTCTTTTCAACTAGACTCTGGATAAATTATGACAAATTCAACTAAATTCTGGATAAATTGTAACAAACATACTTTTAAAGGCTACTCAGATTGGAAGAAAAAAGGGAAATCCTCAAAAGCATTTTTAAAAAGTTCAATGAGCTAAAACCAAATGAGTGAGTCTTTAACATAGAGGCACATGCCAATACTCAGAGCAAGTGTAAGCGCTTTTAGAGCACTTCCTATGGACCAGGCACTGTTCCAAGCATTTTACTCATATCAATTCATTTCTTCCTCATCACAGTCGTATGAGAGGAACTATGACCAATATCCATTTTATAGAAGAGGAAACTGAAGCACAGAGAAATTAGGTAACTAGTCCATGGTCATACAATAGTAAGTGACAGAGTCAGAATTTGAACCCAGGCAGTGTGGATTCAGAATCCTGGAGCTTTGAAATTAATATCCCACCAGAGGAGTGAGAGATCATACCATGGGCTTGTACCAAGCTGGGACTCCCTCATTAATGAATTGGAAGAGAGACTGGCACAGAGAGATGAGAAGATTGAGCATGTACAAGAACATCACAAAGTACAAAGGATAGAAAGAAACTCTAAAAGGAGTGTAATCAGACTGCTAAAAAAGAGGAGAGAGGAGTGCTGGCCCAGTGGCCAAATGGTTAAGTTTCCATGCTCCACTTTGGCAGCCCAAGGTTTGCCGGTTTGGATCCTGGGCACGGACCTACACACCACTCATCAAGGCATGCTGAGTCAGCATCACACATAGAAGAATTAGAATGACTTACAACTAGGATATACAACTATGTACTGGGGCTTTGGGAAGAAAAGAAAAAAAAAAAAGAGGAAGATTGGCAACAGATGTTAACCCAGGGCCAATCTTCCTCACCAAAACCAAAAAAAGAGAGGAGAGAGAGAAGTTGGAGGAGAGATATTCCAAGAGATAATAGCTAAGAATTTTCCAGACCTGATGAGTCAACAGATCCAGGAATCACAACCTATATCATGAAGGATTAACAAAGAGAACTCCATTTCTAGAAACCTTGTAGTGAAACTACAGAATACCGATAACAAAGATTAGACCCTATAAACAACTAGAGAGAAAAAGAGAATGCCTTCAAAACTCAGCAATTAGACTGACAGCTGACTTCTCACAGCAGTGATGGGAACCGTAGGACAATAGAATAATATGTTCAAAAGCCTGAGAGACATTAACTGTCAACCTGAAACTGCATACCTTGTAAAACTTTGTTTTAACAATGAGGGAGAAATAAAGGTATTTCTAGATAAAAACTGGCTTTGCTACCAACAGACCCCCACTAAAGAAATTTCTAATGATGTACTCCAGAAAAAAGGAAAAATGACTCCAGAAAGAAGGTCTGAGATGTGAGATTGAGTGGGGAGCAAAGAAACTGGTAAACAGATAAGTAAATTGAAACAATATTAAATATTTAAAATAATAATAATGCCTATTTTAAGGAGTTAAGGCACTAGGAAAAGGTTGTCCAGCCATACTCTTGGCTTTTCTCTCCAAAGTCTGCCCTCCTGACAGCAAATCCCCTCATTTTAATGTCTTTACAGCAAATCTCCTCATTTTAACATCTTTTGCAACATGAATAAGAACTCCTGAGAACTTGAGAATTCCTGAGAATCTGAGAATTTCCTAAATCATCAAGTTCTGGTTCCTTTTTTCTTACCAGCTTTTCATTCTGTCTTTTCCCTTTTGCACTTTACTGTAAACAGCAAGAAGGAACCAGGATGAACCTTTAACACTTTGCTTGGAAATCTCCTCAGCTAAATATCCAATTTCATCACTTATAAGTTCTGATTTCCACGTGACTGTGGGACATACAGTTGAGCAAAGTGTTCTGCCACAATATAGCAAAGATCACTTTTCCTCCACTTTCTAGCATGTTCCTCGTTTCTTTCTGAGCCCTCACTAGTAGAATCTTCAACAATTATATTTCTACTAACAGTCTGTTCAAGGCAATCTAGGCTTTCTCTATCATGCACCTCAAGTTCTTCCAGCTTCTACCCATTGCCCAATTCCAAAGCCACTTTCACATTTTTATGTATTTGTTACCGCAGTACTCCACTTTCAGGTACCAAAATCTGTATTAGTTTCCAAATGCTGCTATAACAAATTACCACAAACTTAGTGGTTTAAACCAATACAAATTTATTATCTTAGAGTCCTGGAAGTCAGAAGTCTAAAATGGGTCAGCAGGGCTGTTTTCCTGAGGAAGGCTCTAGAAAAGAATCAGTTTTCTTGCTTTTTCTAGCTTCTAGAGAATGTCTGCATCCTTGGTTCATGATCCCATCCTCCATCTTTAAAGTCAGCCGTGTAGCGTCTTACAGTCCTTCTCTCTGCTTCTGTCATCACATCACCTTTTTTTGGGCTCTAACCCTCCTGTCTCCCTCTTATAAAGACTCGTAATTATAGTGGGCCCACCCAGATAACCAGGATAACTTCCCCATCTAAAGATCCTTAACATAATCACGTTTTCAAAGTCCTTTTTACCATGTAAGGTAGTATTTTAACAGGTTCTGAGGACAGGACATGGACATCCTTGAGTGGGTAGCATTATTCAGCCTACCATAATTAGGCATGGTAAAATTTCCACAGTAACTACTAAAAGAATACAGATAAAGTATATAACTTCCAATCCAGTTAAGTGGAAAATAGAGTAAGAAAAAAAATTAATTCAGAAGAAGGTAATAAAGGGGGAAAAAAAAAGGAGAAACAGAAATGGGCCAGCCTCATGGAGTAGTGGTTAAGTTTGGCATGCTCTGCTTTGGTGGCCCTGGTTTGTGGGTTTGTATCCTAGGCACGGATCTACAGCTCTCGTCAGGCATGCTGTGGTAGCAACCCACATATAAAGTGGAGGAAGATTGGTACAGATGTTAGCTCAGGGCTAATCTTCCTCAGCAAAAAAAAAAAGGAACAGAAAATGTAGGCAAATAGAAAGCACAAAATAAAATGGCAGAAATAACAAAATCCAGCTCTATGTTGTTTATGAGAAATACATTCAAACTATAAGAATATTTAGTTAAACTATACTATTATATATATATACATATATATATATATATACATATATATATATATACATATATATATATAGTTAACTAAACTATTTAGTTAAACTATAAGAATATATAGAATGTTTGAAGGTAAAAAGATAAGAGAAAATAAAAGAAGCAAAAGAAAGCCATAACAGCAATGTCTGTCATAAACACTTCAGGGCAGTCCAAATAAAACAGACTACAAAACAAAAAGTGTTATTAGGGCCAAAGAGGATCACTATACAGTAATAAAAGTTTCAACTAAGTACAAAGCCATAAAAATTCTAAATTTGGTACACCAAATTGCCTCAAAATATATAATGCACACACATATATTGCAAATATATATATTTGGCAAATCTTCCCACATATGTCTCTCAATTATGGTTCGGTCAATCAGATAAAAATCATCTGCAGGGAGATGCAGAGGAGGGCCGCAATGCTGGGGAGCCTCTGAAGAACCTAAAAGTGTTCCACAAGAGAGAGAGAAAGAGAGCATTTTAAGCTCCAGCCTGCCCAGAGGGCTCTGAGTCATTTTACCACAGGGTCATTCAAGTAACAACCGTCCTAGAGCCCTGACATTTCTTCTCTCCCTACTTTGGCCCTGGGAAGGAGAACTCAAGCTCAGGGAGAAGCAGCAATGCCAGGTGGGAAAGGAGAAGAAAAGATCAGTGCCCACTTTCAGGGAGAGAAGCCTTACCGTTCAATGAGGGTTGAAAAGATTACTAATGTACTAGGCTTTTTTACTTTTTCAACAGAGCCCGGGTTTGCAATTTAAAGGGATCTTAGGAATTTTTGTTACCTAAAAGTGAGTAGACATGTCCTGGAGGCTGCATAGGTTTTCATCCAGAGGGAGGAGAAAGGCTACCTTCACCAAGCAGTATTAAAGGGAAAGTGGGAGATTT